TAAAAATGGTTTGAAATAAATCAAATGGTCACCAGGTAAAGAAAAAAATTATTAGATACAGAGCAATCGAACCTGAAAAGAAAAGAAGTCAAAAAAAAAAATCTTTTCTTATTACAATATTAAAATTTTTTTACAAATTTGGAGCTGCGCCGCATAAAATCGAATCGCGATTATTCGTGATTAAATAATTATTGACCGATAATTTCTATTTTTTATTAGTTTTACATTCAAGGTAACGTTATAAAACGGAGGCAGTAATTTTGCCAATAATCCCAACAGACAAAATCCCGACAAAGAAATTATCCGCAAACTGCCCAGCATTTTGGATTTTGGTTAGTAATCTAATGGATTTATTTTGTTAATAAATATTTTGAGTTATTTGGTAGCGTGAGCAGTGCGGTAACGGTAGTGTTAATATAATAGCAGTTCTTTGATGTTTATGGGTTATAAACGGAGTTTTAAGGTAAGCAGAAGGAAGGTTTCGTGTTTATTGTTTTACTAATTTAATTAATAATAATCTAATTCTAATCTAATACAGCATAGATATCGTATTGCCTGCAATGTCGGCGCTCTATATAATCAGGTATGTTTATTAATTATATCTTTCGGAGTTTTAATAATAAAAATATGTAAAAGGGAAATAATAACGATGTTTTGGTGTTTAGGGAATTATCGGACTTTTCAAGGATTGAATGAGATTTATTATAGCGAATGTGAACTGTATTAATCGTTGTATTTATCGTTGTATATATTGTAATGATAATTTTTTTTTTTATTAAAGAAAAATTCCGCCATTTATATATGTGAAATTTAACAGGACATTATTGTCCAGAACTAATTTGGCCGGAGAACAATTATGACGTAATATCAGTTTTGTATATCCTATTTTTCTTTTGTTTTGTTTATGATTAACGGTGTTTAAAGTCTCTTCCACCACTAATTTACTACAGACGCAGACTTATCCGATTCCTCGTGATTGCATTTACCAGTTAGCCATTTCTTTACATGCTCATATTCTGCTCTGAAAGGAACCTTCATGTGTGGAATCTATAGTCTTGAGTATGCGAGACAGTCGCGTATTCAATTAGTTATCTTCTTGACCTTTTCGTCAACGTCATATTACTTGATGGTGGTCAGTAACGATTCTGATGAAGATACCAAACATCGATAACTTCTTCGATTAATTCCAATGCGCCTACTGTTTTGCTTTGAGCAAATATTCTTTGCTGTGCTGTTTAAACCGTGGTCTTTGATTGAATGTGTAATAAGGCAGTACTTTACTTTTTAATGAAAACCATTTGCGTAAATTTTTCCACGCATAGTTTATAGAAGTCTCCCTATTGATCTTCATACAATGGAGTTGAATTGAGGTTTACCAAAAGATGGTTTTCGTCGTAATTGAGATTATATATCAATTGTGTGAACGTTTTATATAAAAATCGTTACGAAGATATTTAGTTTAAAACTTTTGATTATATCAATTTTACAGTTGACATAATGATTTTTTTTTATTTAATAAGAGAGGTTACTTGATTCTTGTAATGCAAAAATATAAAACTTAAATATTTTATGCAAATTTTTTAAGAAATAAGATTCAAAACATACCATATTAATTTTATAAAATAAATTAAAAGAACAATGATTAAATGCTCCAGAATAAAAAATCACACCATCTCTTCCGACGCGATTGATTCCTTTCAAGAAGCGTCAGGCCATTATACCTCGTCCTTCTTCTTCTTCTACTACTTCTCCTTGGTTAACTTCTTCTTGTTGATTCAACTTGAATAAAAGGCAAAAAGTAAAGTTAGCAACTGGATCATGTTGATACGACCTTATAAAACATGCAAAAATAAGTACGAATAACTTTTAGTAATATTAAAAATTTTTTGGCACCTACAGTCAGAACTCGATATAACGATTCTCGATATAATGTAAAACGATTTTTTTAATAATTTGACTTTTATATTTGAACATAAAAATCGTTATGTAGAATTTATAAATTTTGATAAACCGATTTTGTTTAAAAAATTTCATAGTAAACCACCGGAAGGTTCGCTATATCAAAGTTCTGACTGTAAATGAGAAAGATAACCAGTTTTTATATAATTTCCTTTTTATCATCAAATATGCCAAACAAAAAATAAAAAAATTTTCGATCATTACTCACTAAATCAAGTGTCGCGCTGTCACGTAACATTTGTTATACAAATGTTCAAATAATAATATCCTCAGACTATATACTGTACAAACAGTGGAGTTACAAAATCATTACCGGGTTTGTTAGAATTAAAGTTATATATTTTTATTAAAATTTTAAATACTTGATTCACGTCGGGGCATCAGTCGTTCGATTTATTTATGCCGCAGCTCAAATTTTTTTTAAGAAAAAAACATTTATTATTAAAAGAACCAAAATTAATATTCCTAAGATTTTTTTTGACTTTTGATTTTCAGGTTCGATCAGACATCTTTTTTTTTTTTTATTTTCTTTTAAAAGGTAAGTATTTTCAATTAGCTGGGGGTCACTATATTATTGACCCGTGACCCGACCCGACTCCATCTGATTTATAGAGACGAGATTTTTTACATTCGGGTCGAGCTCTAGGTTTTATTTTAATCTTCTTCTTGCTTTTTAGGTTGGGTAATAGGAAAGTATTTCTCGATTATTTTTTTACATTTGCTTTTTTATTTTGCTTCTTTAACGTTTTTTCTTTTCTTCTTTCGGTTTTGAAAGTAGATAAGGCGATTTACTCTATTATGTTTTATGGGTTTAATCGCTTCGGGATGCAAATAGAAAATTTAAAACAACAGAACCCTTTTTTAATTGATATGAGAATTATTTCGTTAATTTTAATTAATATTGGCATTATTTATTTACATTCCTCTTGATAAAGTATCAATTGATACATTGAGTAATTTAAGCAAGCAATATTGTAAATTACTGATTTTATAAAATTCTTTTCGCAATACACAAAAATTTGGGAATAGTTGGATAGCGATAAATCGCAAATGCGATAAAAGACAATAATTCTATAAATAAAATAATAAAATATTTTTCATAAAAATTTTCATAATTATTTATTTTTAGGTTTGGTCTTGAAATCAACTGTAATAAAAAAATATAAAGGTCAATATATGCAAATATTTAAAATAATTTGCCAAGTTTAACAAAAATAATCTTTAACATACAACTCCAGAGGTTGATGAGGCGGATTAATTTGTTGTGATGCGCCATTATTTCTTCGGTTATTTCCATTTCGTCGGTGACGGGTAGCTCCATTTCGTTGGCGAGGTGAACGATTTAGTATTAAACGGGGTGCACGTGGGGAAGGAGATGAACGGTTTCTTAAATTGATAATAATTATTTGCTTGGATTTGTTGCTGATTTAATAGAAAGCCAAGCGGAACATTTGCTGTTTTAGGATAACATTTTTGAGTCGACCTTTCTACTACCAATTTTTCGAAGGACCTGCTATCCTCGAAATCCAAAAATTTAACATCATCATCACTGAAATTGACAGGATCAACTGTAACGGAAACTGTTTTCTTCGATATAGGTATTTTTTTGGTTGTCATTTGTTTTTTTTGATCAGACGAAAATCAAAACGTAAAAATTCATAGATTAAAAAAAAATTTCGGTTTCGATTAGATTTAAATAAAATTTTTTTTTCAAAATCTATTTATTATCTTGTATCAGATCAGACTCTATATTTCATAGAACAATTAGTCAAAATCCTCTAATACAAATAAAGCGTAAACAGAGTTAACGCCATGATGTGAGCAAGAGGACAAAGTTTTGGCTAAAGCTAAATTTTTCAGCCCAAACTAGAAGAAGATGGGTTTAAAAAATAAATTTTTTTTCCGATCATATGATTGCTTTAAAAATTTTTTTTGTTCATCACACAGGCGTAAATCAAATCAAAAGGAAATTTCGATCTAAACTTTATAGGAACAAACTCTTTTCAAAAAAGTAGAATCGATTTTCGATTTTAGAATCATTTTTTTCTTTTCAGGTTCGGAGCCTTACCTACTTTCAGAAGCGATTCAAGAACTTAAAGGAGGAAAAGATAAAAATATTCGATCGCTATCTGAAGATCAGATCACATTTCTACTGCTTCTTCATTGACGTTGGTGGATTCTTATTTATTGATGTCAATGGATGTTAATTGATGTAAATAGGTGCCGTTTCATTGAATTATTTATTTCTTTGATATTTATTAAGTCGAGCATTTTTAAAAATGAAGTTTCAAAGAACCAAACTATAGAGCAAAGAAAATTACCAGGAGACAATAAAGTGTTTATTTCCACAGATGATGTATAAAATGATTCTATAGCTTTATAGTTGATTTGATTTTTAATTTCATGTTTTACAATAAAAAAAAAATATATATATATTTGACATTCAAAAGTTAGCTATGAAATAAGTGTTTATCGGTGCAAAGATGTTCAGCTGCAGCTAGCTCCTTTTTTTGATTAAATTTCTCCATAGAAGAAATTATTAAACCAGACGTTTTAACAAAATGACGAACTTTAATCCATCGAGCTTTTTAATAGTTGCTTACAAGTTAACAAAATAATCTTTATACATACATATACCACCACTACGATTGCATAAAATGAATTTTCGTGTGTTGAAATAATAAAATTTTGCTTACGTTCCTTTTTAGCCAACAAAAAATAAATTTTGGTTTTGCTATAATAAAAAATTTTTTTATATTGTTCAACTTATGGAATGACTAATAGGACAATTAGAGAAAAACGCGATAATCGATTTTATGGCGCAGCTATAAATTTGATAAAATTTTTTTATTAAATCATCCTTACTATGAATAATTGTGGATCATGACACTATTACATTATCAATTAAACCGGAAGCGGTTAACTATTACATACTACGCTTAATGAATTTTCAATATACTTTCCGCATAACCTTGAATTCTTATTGAAGCACAGAAGACTAATCCATTCACTTGCAAAAGTATTCTGTTTCTTTTGTTATTTATCTTTGTAATAACCAATCAAGCAATGACGCATATTTTTAAATGAGATTTGAAAAGCAATTATTTCTATTTTTTCACGCACTAAACCTAGACTCCTCGTCATGGAAATTAAACTAAAACATGCGTTTATTCTTGCTGACTGGATTTTAAGAAAAGATTCTAATGCGAGAATTCTCAAGGAAAATAAATATAACCTTAATCCTTATTTCTCGTGGAATAGTGTTGCCAATATTATGCGTAGGTAGTGTTATGGACAAGGAGCATGCATTTTGATCATTAAAACTGAAGAGTATAATACGATAATTGGTGGCTATAATTCTCTTTGTTTGAATCAAATTACTTAATAATAACTATTATGGTACTTATGGTATCTAAAACTACCGAAGGAGATGAAAACAATTTAAATAATGTTAAATTAAGGATAATGTCTTTTTACTAAATAGAACTGAGTATTAGGTTATTTCGGCAAGCGAACAAATTATGATAGCATTGTTCCTGAAATTTCAATGATCATGAATAAGGTCGCATGGCAAAACATTAATTTTGATTCGTTAACAAAAGTATATGTGGAAAAGTAAATAAAATTTTTAATTATGATTCATTATGCAATTAAAACACCTCCAAGTTCTACTTATGTCAACGCGAAAAATAAGCAAAAGGTTGCTTCATGCCCGCGAATATGCCCACAAACATTTATAAAAACTACAAATAGTAAATATTTCATCAATATACAAAATTTGATTATTCTGAAGTAAAAAAAAAACACAACTTACAAATTAATGATGATTAAAAAGATCAGACAATAAAATGCTCCCGACAAGAATTCTGCTAAACTGGTACTTGGTGTTGGAGGAGGAAAATCACGATATCTTATGCAATTTCTGCGTTTTCTGCGTTTTGGAGGGGGTCTGCGATTAGGTGATTTTTTTGGAGGAGATCTTCCGCGAGACATCTAAAAGTCAATAAATTTAGCGTGTTTTTTTTTTATTTAATTTTTTTTTTAAAAAAAAAAAATGTAGATAATTATACATACTGCAAAATTATTTTTTTTTTTTTGTTTTTTATCAGAGCAGACCGATTTTTTTATATGAAATTAATAAATCAATGATTTTTAAACGATTAACCATGTGCATCTATTAGGACGTCAACGTCATATTCTCATCCAATCATGGGCGCTTCTTTATTGATGTTACTTCATATTTGCCGTTTCATTGAGTTGTGTATAATTTTTGGTATTTTTTAAAGCGTGCATTTTTTAAGTGAAATCGCGTCTAGGCTAAAAATACAAATGTAGATTGAGAAAGAAATTACCTTTGGATGTATAAAATTAAAATTGCAAAAAAAACAAGTATTAAAAAATTCAATAATAAATAACTGTCAGCAGTAATATATTTATTTTTTAATAAAGATTTTACGCACGCATTTAATAATTTACTATTTATTTGAATTAGCAAGTTATGACGATTAACCGACAGCATTTTCGTCGAAACCCGTTAACAGACTATCTTTAGCCGACGACACCCTCCAAATCACTGACAACCTTTTTCACCGAAAGCTATTTCACAGAAAACTCCATATTACAGAATATTCGTTAAAAAAAATAATGATAAAAAGAAATAGGATGTAGGAAAAAAACAGTTTTGGACGTGGGAAAGAGAAGATTTTGTTCTGATTAATAACTTTTTATATATCATTATTAAACATTTCGCGCTTTAAAATTTAAAGTGACAGTAAGGAGACGCAGTAAAATTTCGTTATATTGGCGTTGTCGGTAAAAACGTCCGTTCAGTGAAATGGATATCGGCAAAATGGTGCATCGGCCAAAAGTAGTCGGTTAATTGGTATTCGGTGAAGTGGTAGAAGGAACAAGTGGAAACAATGCGGTGTTACGGGTTTTATTCTGTATACATTTTTGGAAACCCCATGAAACTCTTAGAATACGGTATAAAGATTGGCCACACCAATCAATATCCAATGAACTATGGAAGCAAATCTTTCCCGTTAGAAGAAAGAACCAATCCAACATTCAAAGAAAATATGGAACCGGATTTTTTGTCGTTTCCAGTAACCTTACAAAAGTATATCTATCAACTATTTCTGTTATATATACAATGATTAGTGGGAAAGATATCGTGTTTCCGTCATGGTGTTTATCAAGGATCAAAAGATTCGATGTCGTTGCTTCGTTTGTTTAAAGTGTGTTTGTAGATGGTTTTCGAACTGCTAATACTGTATGTAAAGACATAAATAGCTCTTCTAAAAGAAAGTTCAAAATTCCAAAAAATAACCTAAATATATTTAAAAAACGGTAAAAATCTAAAATAATTTTAGCAAAGATCGTCCTCCTAAGTCATTTCCTAAAAGCACCCCAGATCGGAGTTTTATGTTAGGCGTCGACCGCAACACTTCGAGGCAGTATGAACCGTCCCATGCACACTCGCTCAAAG